TTGCGTTATGTGACTGGCTTGACAGGGTATAGTAAAAGATGCCCGACAGAGAGATGACATAAAGTACTCAGGTAACTCTGTGGACTGTCAGTTAATGTACACCCCACATCCCAGAGGTGGAGGAGACGTGGCTGCGTGCTCCTTTTGAACGTAGCAGCGTTTATCGTGGGGGTTTTTTTCGAGACAAGGGTACAGGCAACTGATTGCAAATTAATCAGTGTACGCTTGAAACCCTCGTTCTACGTGTCTTTCCATCCTCTACTTTGACTAGCAGTGCGGCCTATGACCAATAGGGTGACCGGCTGTGCTATTAAAAAAAGGGTTTTTTCTGGTTTTTCTCAGTCATTACAACACAACAACGATTCTGGGCTTAACTTCTTTGAGAAAAGTTTTGGAGAAACAACAGGTCATAGAGTACGACCTGGAGACGAGCTCCACCTCCACAGTGGTTGATTGAAGGCAGTCGGCACGAGAAATGGACTGGGCTTGTGAGGCAAATATGTCTAGTTCTTGCCGAACGGAGCCTGTACTTGAACGGGTTCTTTTTCACTTATCCGGGCTTCCTCGCGAGGAGGCAAATTCTTAACGCTAAAGAAAGTATCTTTTGAGATATTCCAAGGTTCCTCTGCGGTAGTAAGCTGTCTTGTTTTTGCTCCAGACTTCCTTCATCATTTTTTGTTGTTTGTGGTTTGATTCCCGCGGAATTTCAGCCCGCGTTTCACTCATGAGTGAGTCCCTTTTTTGTTTCGGACACTTTTTATATTGTATGAGATTTTGTTGTCGCCTGTGTAACGTACTTTCACGTCTACCCTTAGAGTCCCCGTGATTTTTCCGCAGTGACCGTTGACCAACGATGATCTACAGTCCTGTACGTTGCGGATGATGGCGTGTCAAGGGGTTGGGTTTGGCGCGGAGCCGGCCAATCGCGGGAGCTACCACAATTGTTGGAAAATTGGTCAGCACCGCGTCATACCCGGCCCCCTGACACGCCATGCGTTCGCAGCACAGAAAACTG